TGTCCCTGTCGGCCGCTGCCACCGGCCCTTCCACCTCCGCAAGTCGCCGACCTGCGTCCGCCTGTCTTCACCGCGTGGCCTGTCCACCTCTGTGGACCTCCGCCAGGCCTGAATGTCTCTGTCGGCCGCCGCCGCCGGTCCTTTCCACCTCCGTCTGCTTATCTCCGCCGCCAGGCCGTCCACCTCCGTCTGCTTATCTGCTTATCTGCCACTGGGCCTGAATGTCTCCGCCAGCTGCTGCCGGGCCTAAATGTCCCTGTCAGCCACTGCCGCCGGACCCGTCTACCTCCGCGGGCCACTGCCACAGGCCTACCCACGTCTGCTTGTCTCCGCCATCTTTGTATTGCAGTTTTATACAAGTATTGAGAACAGAATTAAAACACAGTGCAGTATCTACCCACCCCCCGATTTCGGTTTATGCATTTCTTCCTAAGCCAACACAGAAATGTAATTGTTACTTTCTACTGATGGAGTGTCTAACTTTTCCTTTGGTAGCATGCTTTATCGTCTACTCTATTTTGTCTGGTTTTGTTTTGGCTTCTTGTTGTTATCTTGATTTTTTTGCTTGTTTGGAACCAGAGTCTCCCACTTTCCAGGCAATATTCTGCCACTAGCCACACCCCAACGCCTACTCTACTCTCTACCCATCACTGTTTGTTCAGCTATGTGCAGACATATGCAGCCAGTTCTAATTGGTATGTTGATCCTTTTATATTTCTTCTAGTCATTAATAAGGTACAGTTCACGAGCTAACATCTTATTACTTGTTTCCTATTTCTCTGTCTCTCCTACCTTGTCTCTTTTTGGTTTCAGCAAAGACTTTAGATATAGTTCTGTACTAACTTTTTAGCTACATAATTTTAAATTTTTGGTGGCTCTTCTAAGGATTAAAACATATACCTATAATCTCTTATAGTGTGTTTTCACTATTGTATCACTTCATATAAAACTACAGTTCACTTTTTTATTCTTCTCTCATACATTACATCCTGGCCACAGTTTCCCCTCCCCTCCACTCCTTTTAGTCCCCTCCCAACCTCCCCTCTCCCCCAGATCCACAGTTCGCTTCTGAAAGTATGGTTCCATTCAATCTTCTTCTATGCATAACTCCTTTCATGTGTGTTGTGTTTACATATGTGGACTGGCCACTTTAAGACTCCGCTCCTGGAAGCCTCTGCTGTTACTCAGAACTGCTTCATTCCTGAAGAGGACACATGGTTTCTTGTTTCTCCTACAACCAATTGTTTGTTGCTATTGTTAATAAGCACAGATCGCTATGAATGAGCCACTGTGCGGACCCTGGACTCTTTCACCTCCGAAGGACTCTTCTTTAGCAGGCAGTTGCCTTGGGACTCAGCCCCCACACGCTGCAGCGGGCAGCAGCTCCTAGATGAGGCCCTCCCCTACCCCCCAGATCTCACACCCAAGGTGTGGTTCAAGGGTCAGAACTGATCTGAGGAGATTTTTGCCTGTAGATTTAGGTTAGACCTGGTCAGACCTCTCTAACTTTTCAGATGATCTGCCAACTTCAAGCTCCTCTCATCTCAGCCCAGGAACTCCGTTGGTTCCTCCTGTCTTAAGCCATGACTGTAAAATGTTCTGAACTTGACACTTTCACCAAATTTAGTGCCTGTGTTTCAAGAGTGGGTGTCTATTAGTTTCTGCCTGCCGGAAGGCTCTCTCCAGGGCCCTCAACGCATGCTCATGTGATTTTCTAAGCTTTGGGATGGTCCTTGGTAGAGGTTGCTCTGCTAGCTTACTTCCATTGCCATAAACCTGAACATCTGCTTTTGATGGACTGTCCTCCTGCTTCCAACAAAGGCAGAAACCACATGTGTCTGATAATGATCTGAACTAGCCTCAGATACTTCTCTTTGTTTTCCCTATTAGAAATCTTCACAGCATTCAGAGAGGATACTAGGTCAGGACTGACTCCACGCATCTCAAGCCATGAAGGGCAGTGAATTGAAAAACATCGTCAGAGAACTCACCCCAGCCCATCAAACAGATTCTCAGAAAGACACACAGTCATTACCCATGAAACGATAATCTCCTGTATATACGGTCACTTCCTGTGGACACAGAAGTCACCCATGGCCACAGTCACCACTTGTGCTGGTTATTTTTAACTGTCAACTTGAGATAAACTGCAAAGAATCATCTGCAAAGAAGTCTTAATGAAGAATCAGGTTGACCTGTGGGAATATATGTGGGGGGGGGGTATCTTAACTGTTAGTTGGTAAAGGAAGATCAGTCCATTATGGGTAGCACCATTCCTTAGGCAGAAAGCCCTGGACATTATGAGAAGAGAAAGCTAGCTGAGAGCAAGCTAGCAATCAAAGATATTCATATTCTCTTTGCTCTTTACTACGGATGTGATGTGACTAGTTGTTTTAGTTCCTGTTGGCTTTCCTGAAATGATGGACTGTAACTTGGAATTGTAAGCCAAATAAATCTTTTTCTCCCCTAAGTTGCTTTTCTGGTTAGGGTATTTTATCATAGTGACAGAAGTGAACTAGACATCTCTTGTGTATATATATATATATATATATATATATATATATATATATATATATATATATCGTGGTATACAAAGTCACCTCTCATAGTCACCTTCTATAACATTGTTACCTGCTGAAGACATAGTCACCTCCCATAAACATAGTTACCTCCCATGGTCACACATCTCCAGTGGACACAGTCACTTCCTATGGCATTATTACTTTCCATGAACACAGTCACCTCCCATGGCCACTCATCACCTGTGGACACAGTCACTTCCTGTGGCATTATTACCTCCCATGGTCACTCATACTTGTAAACATAGTCACCTCCCAAAGTCACACATCTCCTGTGTACACAGTCACCACCTGTCATGGACAGAATTATGAAGCTCATGTTGAAATCATGTTCCTTCTTCAAACTAATTTGTGGGGAAATAGTCCCGAGGAGCCGGGAGTCTTCAAACAATGCCTCTGGTACAAAATGCTCTCTCGGGCCCTCCCCTGCTGGGATGAACACTGACTGCCTCTATCATGCTCTTGTTTCCAAGTTGCAGCCTTAGGTTCTACAGGAACCTGGACATGGGAAAGCAAAGGAGAACTTTGTTACTTATTGTAAGACAGACAGCTGGTCCTGGGAGGAGACCCAGGCTGTGCCTAACCTCAGGGTTCTTTACATTTTCCTGCATAAGACTTTCTTTCTCTCTCTCTCTCTCTCTCTCTCTCTCTCTCTCTCTCTCTCTCTGTGTGTGTGTGTGTGTGTGTGTGTGTGTGTGTGTGTGTGTTACTCTGTCAGTCAGGAGGAAGTTAGATATTGCTATATGTCTGAAGAAAATAAATCAATGCCATTTGAGGAAAATATAGACAAAATAAGAACATAAATTTCTATTGAAAAACAGGAAAATAGACACAATGAACACCCCCTCACACCCCATTGACAAGACTAAGTACAGAGAAATTGAAATGCCCACCACTGCTGGTGCCTATGAGAACAGCCACACTCATTCTGGAAAACATATTGGCGTTACTCTGCACTGGTGAGTCTACATAAACCCTTCAGTCCAGAAACTCCACCCTTTGTTCATTTCCTAAATAATCCCACACGAAGTGTACCTTATAAAAGAATGGGTTACTCGGCTAGAGAGATGGCTCAGAGGTGACGAGGAGCACGGACTGCACTTACACAGGACCTGGGTTCAATTCCCAGCACCCACATGGCAGCTCACAACTTCTGTAACTCCAGTTCCAGGGGATCCAACACCCATGGCAAAAACACCAATGCACATTAAAATAAGTAAATTAAAAAAAAAAAAAAAGAATGGGTTATTTTCTTTCTGCAAGCTTTTTGCATAATAGCCCAAACCTGGAAGCAACTCAAATAGTGATCCACAGGGGAAATGGATCAGTATGTGTTTTTACGTTCTTAGAAAACTACTATCCAGAAATTCAATACAGTTACAGAGGAAGGAAAGTAAACAATGGTGGCACACAGCGTCACAAGTTCACTCACTCAATACCGGGCAGGAAACAACAGAATCAAGACCACGTGACTCCACTAATACGAAGTTCAGCCAGACCTGCTTTAACTACGTGATCAGAGGATCTATGCATAGGTATTAAAACGGGAAAAATCAAGGAGCCAATGACCTCAAATGTCAGTCAAATGGGAGGGGCTTAGCAGGAGTGGGGGAACATATTCTTATTCATAACTGTTTATTAAACCATGTATTTATATTTAAAGCACTTTCCCTGTTTATAATATGTTTTACAATAACATCTGTAAAAATGTTAAGGCTGAAGAGGTACTAAGACCATGGAGACCTCAAGTTAATTCCCTTAGCGCTATAAAGAAATGTTAGAACATGCCATCCATTACCATCACCTGCCTCCTAGCAGCACCCCAGCACGTCTCCTGTGGCTCACTGCTCCTAACACTGTCCCTGTCACTGTATCTCTGCGGTCCAGTGTTTGTTCAAATGTGTCACCGATGGCCATGCAGAGCCAGTGAGGACAGTCAGAGGAAGTGCATTCTGAAGGCTGAAGGGTTCCTCCCTAACCCCAGGAATTGTCATTCGCTAAAGCTATCTCAGATAAAGCCCATGCAGTTCTCAGAGGAAATGCCACAACCTCCTCTGCAGGGAGCTGAACTCCTGCCTGATGAGGAACTGACCCTGGGGCAGGGTGATAAGGTCCTCCAGCAGTGCAGCTCCCTGCCATCTCCAGGGTCAGCCCCACAACTCCCAGGCCTATCTCTCTGGTCTCACGCTGCTCCTAACCCTCATTTCCAGTGGCAGCTCTGTCCACCATGGTGGCTTTCCACATCTGGTCATATTCCACAGCATTTCCTCTCCACCCTGGCCAGCATCACTGGTTATGAATGAGCTTCCTCCCTTCACACACACCTTCCTCTTCCTCGATGCTGCACTCAGGCTGTGGGGGGGGGTATGCTCCCCAGGACATCCCAGCCTAGCACGAATGCCTTAGCTTCATGTGACTCCACAGCTCTGTCATCACTCCCAAACACTGTTCCTATTTTCTCCTAAAAAATCAAAGACCCCCCCTCCAAACATATGGGACCAAACATGGGCACCTTTCCACTTGTCTGGTC